TCTGTTGGCAGCGAGGCCAACCAGGTGGCCTCTCCTTCCTACCGCAGGCCCCTCATTGGCAGGAAACCTTTCGGGGACTGTCTGACCCAGAGCAGATGTGACAGCCCTCAGGTGCTGTAGAGACAGGGTTCTGAGTGACCCTGCAGGTTCCTCTCCCCGCCAGGCCTTCTGCGGAGAGGTTAATATAACCTGAATCCATCTGAGGCACGACAGACTGTCATCAGATGGTTGGGCACTGTGGTTTGTAAAAACAAATCAACAAACAATGAACATGGTGTTCCTGGTGCTGAGTCCTTCTTTCTTGGCCATTTAACATAGATTATCCGTGAAACACTACGACAAAGGCACCCCTGTGCCCATTTCTCAGATGGTAAACGTGAGGCCCAGAGCATTCATGTGCTGGCTCTGAGGTCATGTGACTATTAAATATGGGATCTGGGATGACTAGCATGCTTACTCTCTCATCACCATCATCACCTCCCTCTAGAGGAAATTATAATAATGCAAAAACCAAAGTCATGCAGCCCTTTATGTTCTCACCTTGCCTTCATTCGAATCTGAATGTGCCATGGTGGTCCTGTTCACCTCTGCTCACTTCCGCCCTCCTTCACACTGAGTCCACTTTCTACACCTCCTTATTCATCCCTCAAATCTCACCTCCTCCAGGAAGTCCTCCCTGAGGCACCTTCTCTCCTACTGCATCCAAAGCCCTTGTCATGTGCTCTCAAAGCACCACCGCCATCCGGGCACTCATTGCACTGGATCACAACTCCCGCTTGTCTGCATCCCTCATTGGACCCGCACTGGGAGAGCCAGGCTTGGTCTGCGATGCTCCCCCTGCATCCCTAGCCCGGAGGTTGGGATTGTTTGAACGACTCTATGTCCAGTGGCTGAATGAGCCTTGAGACAATGCGCTGGAGCCCTTTCTCATCTGCGATCTGTAGGCCCAGGAAGAGGTTCCGGACTTCATTCACTCGCGACTACCACCATCTGTGCACTTGTCAGGGCGCTAACGACCTCTTTCCCCGGAGCTGGGAGCATCCGCTTTGGGCCGGATCCAAGATCATGCCCTTTCCCTCCGGTTGTGTTTGTTTGCACATAACACTTGACACTGCTAAGGACCAGGAGGTGGGCGCCCTACAGATGCGCTTCCAGGGTGCGAGGTCGCAGACCCTCTCCTGCCCCGCCCTGCCCCGAGGGCCGCTCTCGGAGGAGCCTGGATGCAGCAGGGCACAGGGACCTGCTGTGAGTGCCAGATGCCCCTGTTGCCCTGTCCTTAGAGCCCACAAAGCAACTCGTCTGTGCTCTCTGTCCCCACGCCTCCGGCCTCGGTCTCAGCCCCACGTCATCGTTTCGCCTGGGAAGCGGCAATTGTCTCTAAGTGGTCTCCCCGTCCCCAGTCCTGGCCTTTTCATTCCATTCTCCACACGGAGTCATTTTTCTCAACTGTAATCTGACCAAATGAAAGCCGTTCGGTGAAGTCTACACGGCTGAGCCCAGCCAAGGCCCTTCTGTCAGCTCCGTCCTTCGCCCCTCTCCCACACGCCCTCACACCAACGCCCGGCATGTTCTCCCTGAACTCTCCACTTCGTCTGCTCTGCCTTTACCTGGCGCGTCATGCTTCCCCCGTATGTACTCAATTCATCCAACAAGTATTTACTGAGTGGTGACCACGTGCTGCTTCCCTTGGGGCACCACAGAGGCAAAGTCTCTCATCTCATGGCCCCCTATCCTGGTCTTAGGTTTGGGAAAAAAACTAGGAAACAAACACATGAAGCAAATCCCTGGTGGATGGTGCATATACTCGGATGTAAAGGAGACAGGGCGCATCACAGAGTGACAATGGGGTCCTGGAGGCTGAGGGGGGTCAGGGGACGTTTCTGAAGATGCCCCATCAGAGATGCTCCTACACTGAGGGGCAGGGGGTCCGGGCAGTGGGACAGCCAGCACAGAGGCCCCGGGCAGGTGGAGTGAGCCTGGGATGGATGCAGACAGAACCGCAAAGGTGGTGAGTGTGGCTCCCGCAGTGTCAAGGGCCAGAGTGCTGGGGGGACGATGCTCTAGGCGTCTCTAGCACTTGATACGTGTACCAGGAATAGGCGAGCCTCTAATTTCAACCCAGGGCCTTGCCCGGTGCCTGGTAGATGCCGGCATTCACAGGTGCTTATTGAGGACCATGGGGTACTCTCCCCCAACCCCTACGACCCTGTGACCCCAGGGGAGGCTGATGGTAGGAAAAGCTAGTGAGTCATTTATAAAGAAAGTCCCGCCTCCTAAGACACTGGCCGACAGGGGAACCCGTGATGCCATGATTAACCGATGGCTTTATGCTGCAAGGCTTTGTATTTGAGCCTCTTCCGTGGAGGAAAAAAAAAAAAAGAGGCAGGAGAACATTTTTACTTAGCGTTTGGAGTACAGTGCCGAATGGGCACTCAAATGTTGGCAAGGATGACAAATACTGACTTGCATAGAGAAATGGAGGAAGAACCAAAAGGCCAAACCCAGGAAGAACATACCGTGTTCATGGATTGGTAGAATCAACATCATTTAAAATGTCCATACTACCCAAAGTAATTTATAGATTCAATGCACTCCCCATTAAAATACCAACGGCATATTTCATAGACCTAGAACTCTCCAAAAATTCATCTGGAATAAAAAAAGACCCTGAATAGCTGCATCAATCTTGAGAAAGAAGAACAGAATTGGAGGGATCAGAGTACCAGCCATCAAGTTATACTACAAAGCCAATGTTCTCAAAAGTGCCT